TTTAAGCTAATGAAATAATTCACTAAAATGAAATAAATACTTTTCAACAGCTGATGCTAGATCAATTGGGTATCCAGTAGTCAATAAAATAAAATAATGTATGAATCTAACATTAGTCCTGACAGTGTATAAAAAAGTAATTCAAAATGGATCAGGGACTTATACATAAAATATGAAACATGACCCCTTTAGAAATAAAAAAAAAATTATAGGAGAAAGTGTTCAGCATGTAGAATTGGGTAAAGCATTTTTCCTTTGTCATCAAATGCATGATTTAGCCCTTGCCTATGTGGCTCAATTGGTTAGATCATCTTCCTGTAACCAAAAGTTTGTGGGTTTGACTCCTGTTCAGGGCACATACCAAGGTTGCAGGTTCAATCCCCTGTCCAGGTGCATACCATCCCTGTTTTGGCATGTACAGCAGAAAACCAATCGATGTTTCTCTTTCTTTTATTAATGTTTCTTTATCTTTCTTCCACTCTCTTTTCCTGTCTGTCTAAAAGCAGTGGAAAAATATCTTCAAGTGAAGATTTAAAAAATTGACATATATGACAATTTTTTTGTATATGGAATAAAGAACTCTCCAAACTCAGAAGATAAGCAAGCAAAGGAACACACCAACTAGAAACTTGACAAATGACATAAACAGACATTTCACTGAAGATGATACATAGATCACAAATCAACACATTAAAAGATGTTCATTAACCATGCAAATTTAAATTAAAAACACATGGAATATTGTTACATGAATAGCAGAATATTTAAATTTAAAAAATAACACAAATTGTGTCAAAAATGAAGAGAAACTGGAATATTTCTACATTGCTGGTGATAATGTAAAATGGTACAACTACTCTAAAAAAAGCATACAACATTTTCTTACAAAACTAACCATGTGCTTACCATGTGACACAGCAATTGCATACATTGGCATTTATCCCAAAGAAAGGAATATTTATGTTCACAGAAAAATCTGTAAAAGTGTTCATAGCAGTTTTATTCATGACAACCCAAAAGCACAAGTGATAACTCAGATGCCCTTCAACAGTGGTGGTTCAACAAACTGCTGCATGTACACCCTGAAATGTTACTAAGCGATAATGGATGAGTGAAGCGTTGATACACTCAACAACTAGGATGGATTTCAAAGAGAATTATACTGATTAAAAAATGCCAGTCTCACAAAGTGACATTTTATTTCATTTACATAGCGTTCTTGAATTTACCAAATGGTGAGATGGAAAACAGATCTGTCATTGTCAGGGGTTGCGGAAGGAGGCCGTGGTGGTACAAGTGCAGGACAAGAGAGCTGGGGCTGGAACTTGGCTGTGTCCTTTCTGTTGCTTATCATATGAGATACAAGTACATAGAGCTAAACACACATGCATGCTCATACTGTACAAATACATATATGTAAAACTGGTGAAATCTGGAGAAAGTTGGTACAGAGTACCAATTTCTTTTTGTGATATAATTATTCAAGAAATGCATGTTGTTGAGAGAAATTGGATGAGGAGTATAAAGGATCTTTTCACAACTGCATGTGAATTTGCAGTTACCTGAATGTTTTATATGTATGTTATACATACATGAATTGCTTAAACACTAGAGAGGAAGGAATAAATAATATTTTAGATGATGTAGTTGCATATATAAAAAAATAGAAGGATCAGTTAATTACCATTGCAATTTTAAAGAAAATCTTATATGATAATCATTAGCTGCTTATCATTTAAAATGAGAATGAAAAATGTTTTATTTATAATTAAAACAAAATATATTCTTAAGATTGTATCTAATAGAAAAACATAAAGGATCTATATGATAAATTAAAGATTAAATAAATTAATAAATGTAAAATGAGAGTGAAATAAGTAGTTCTGCATGAAATGCCTTAATATAATAAAATGTTTAAAGTTTTTCAATTTACCATGTATATATTGTGCTGTTTTATAAAATTATTAATTTGATCACTTGAAGTTGACTTTAAAGCTCAAATGAAATTATGAATGAGAATTACTGAAATATAATTTGAAATTTTATTTGAAAATAGTATTGTTTGCTGTGGTGCATTTGCCTTACAAGGTAATTTTTAATGCTTATATCTGCTTAAAATATACAGGAAACAAAATTTGTGGAATTTACCTAGATATAGAAAAAATTTTGAAAGAGAAACATATATGTATATAAGGGATATTTATATATAATACATACAGTTGATTTTTAATTTCAGTAGGCAAGGATCATTTGTGTAGTAGATTGTGTTAACATAATATATCCCTCTGAAATAAAGTTATACTCTTACCTCTCACTTTCGTGTATATAAGTGAATCTATCTCAAGTAGACATGGTGAATTATAATTCTCTGAGAGTTGAAGAGGTTGGATTAGAGAAAATGATGACACATTACATGTAATCTCAGGAAACTTAAAATTTTGAAATGCGTCTATACCAAAATCTGCTTTTATTAAGATACCTCATAGAATAACTACATTTCTAAAACTCTAATAAAATTAGCTATTTTGATTAAAATCTCAAACTACTGTGAGAGAAAAATGAATTCTAGAATGAAGTCTTTTTTGTTTGTTAAGTAACAATTATTCATTATTTTATCTAAAATGTTTCTTCTCGGCCCTGGCTGGTGTAGCTCAGTGGATTGAGTGCGGGCCTGCGAACCACAAGATCACGGTTCGATTTCCAGTCAGGGCACATGTCTGGTTTGCAGGCTGGTCCCCTGCAGGCCAGTTCCCAGCAGGGGATGCACGAAAGGCAACCATACATTCACGTTTCTCTCCCTCTCTCCTTCCCTTCCCCTCTAAAGAAATAAATAAAATCTTTAAAAAAAATAAATAAAATGTTTCTTCTCTTGTCCCTACAATTCCCATTCTCTTTCTTTTGAAACCTGTAATGTCCAGGCCATTTAACTTTAAAAAAATCATATACTTTATATTCTAGAAAAGTTTGGGTTCACAGAAAAATCGAGCTGAAGATAGAGATTTTCTATTCACCCCTCGCCCTTGCACAAGGCAAGACCTCTGACACTACTGACGTCCCAAACCAGAGTTACATGTTTGTTACAATTGAAGAAATTACTGACACATCGTTATTTGCCAAAGTCCATACCTCACATTAGAGTTCACTCTTGCTGTTGTATTTTCTGTAGATTTGGAAATATGTGACCTGACCTGTTCCTATTACAATCACTGCTGTTGTTAGTGTTTTATAGTTTGCCTTGTACAGAATGTCATATAATTGAAGTCATACATTGCATATATTTTTCCAGATTGGTTTCTTTCATTTAGTAATATGCATTTAATGTTGTTCCATGTCTTTTTGTGATTGATAGCTCATTTCTTATTACTGCATAACATTGCATTGTTTGAATATACCACCCTTTACCCATTCACCTTTTGAAGGTGAGAATTGCTTCTCAATGTTGACAATTATGAATAAAGCTGATCTAAATATGTGTGTGCAGGTTTATATGTGGCCATAAGTTTTTAACTCATTTGGATAAATACCAAGGAATGCAATGCTGGCTCTTAACACTACTTTTGTAACAAACTGTCAAACTGTCTTCCAAAGTGTGTGTACTAGTGTTTATTGCTAACAACTGTGGATGAAAGTTAGTCATTTTAGCTTTATCTAGTACTTTTTAAAATTGCTTTTGCAACATATTTCCCTCCATTTCTCTGAACTTGTCCAGCACTCGGTGTCCCTATTCTGACATCTGTCATACTCTCCCACGCTTTGCAAGTGTGAACCCCTAAGAGCAGGACATAGATGTGTTTCCAGCACCTTACAGTACTTCATTTAATATCTTGAAAATTAAGTGTTCTGGTATTTGTTCAATGAATGAAGAAAGTACAAATTTTGGTGTTTCAGACTTTCAAATGGAGCATTTATTTTACAAATCTATAAATTATCACAAGGTCTTTTACTAGGCTCAGAATCAAACAATTTGTGCTACATCTATTAATAACATTTTTATTTGATCCTTAGCAATTAATTTGTGGGTTACATACATGGTTGATTCATGTTAGAAGAAATTTCATTTGATTCTTTGGCCCATCTCTTTAGCTGGGAGAAACAAAGTGCTTGCTGTAATACATGCTGAGCTTTTAAAAAACAATTCGTAATGAGGTTAGTACATACCTTTGACATTTTATTTTCAGTCAGAGTGAAGGTCAGAACTGAAGGTAACAAATATTTTGTACAGTAAATAAACAATGCTGTTATTTTTCAAAGAAAATGAAATATTGCTAACCTGTCCATAGCTTCTTGCTGGCTAAAAGTGTTTGCTATGACTACTTTTGATACTTAAACAGTATTTTATTTTGATATCCTAGATTTTGGAATTAAAAAGGGAGTACACCTAGTTTATATGTCAGAGATAAGACAAATATGTGCTTTTAATGAATTTTGTGGTACTGCATTATTTGCATTTTTATGTTTTCAGCCTTTAAATTGACTTATTTATTGGCTGTTATTTGTTTGGTGGAACTGGTATTTATTCTGTTAATTTGGTTAATTTTCTTCTGAGATTGGAAGTTTTCTTAATTGTATATATTCAGAGTCCTCAACTCTCTCACATTTGGTATTTGCAATATGAATTTATCATTACAGAGAATATGTCAAAGTGATTTTTAAAAGTAATTACCTGGATTATGATAAAACAGTGAAAATTATGCCCTTGGGAACACAGTATACAAAAGGGATTTTTAAGTGCTTTCACATCATTCATCAATATGCAACCAGAGATCAATTTATTACATTTGTACTGCATCAAGACAATTTTAATGCACAAAAACTTAATGTTTAAAAAGTATTATGAAACAGGCAGACTTCAAATGCCAAAACCCATGTTAAAATGATCATTTTGTATTCCCATCTACTTAACATATTTTTGAAGCTAAATATTTCAATTTTTGTGGTTCATCAGTTTTAAAAACTCAACATGAAATATGTGCCTAATATAAGATTTATTTTCATTTTAGATGAACTAACAAATTCATCAGAAACCCGTTTGTCTTTAGAAGACCTTTTCAGAAAAGACTTCGTGCTTCATGATCCAGAAGCTCGCTGGATCAATGGTATGTGTGTACCTTTCTATATGTTATATTTATTCTGAGTTCTATACAGTTAAATTCAAAGTAAGTAATGGTATTTGTAGTTAATACTTTAATCAACATTATTCTTCAAAGATTACATATACCATTTAATCAGAAATGAATATATTGGCTTACATGAGAGAAAACCATTTCCTAAGATAGGTCATCAATGGAAATATTCTACAAACACTCAGGCCAATTGTTCCGCATGGGGGTTCCTTCATGAATGTTATTAGTCTTGTGACTTTAAACATTTGTTACATCTTGAGCATTTCTCTGGATTGTCCTTCTTGTATAAAGTAATAGATTTTGAGAGACTGCCTATGTATGTAGTTCGAATTTAGCAAACAAATTATGATGATGATGTGATGATTTCCCTCCTGGTGGCTTTGGCTTTCAATCCTAGTGCTACAGACTATAGAGACTTTTTGCAAAGTTGAAACAATTTAGAAAAGATGTGGAAATATATTACACTTTGTCTTTTTCTGTCATGCTAAAGAAACCACCTCAGCTTTCTTCAGGTTATTTTTTATTTTATTATTTTAAAGGAGTTTTAAAAAGCATTTCAATTACAAAGGAAATAACCAAAAATATAATCACTGAGTGGCTCCATGAACTTTGATTTGTTTTTGTGGAAGGCGGTAGGGAATGTGATGAAGTAATCCAGTCAGAAGCATGTGTTGGTGAATAGAAAATCAGGTTTTCATTCCTTGACTATTCCAATTTTGTTGACCGTATTAATCACTGTAGTCAGATAGCTATTAATCTTTGCCCTTCAATTTATTTTGACATAATATATTTGCTTGTTTTCAAGGCACTGAGTAGATTATTTTATGATAGATAAAAGGAGCTTTGCCTTTTATCTGATAATGATTATCACACTTATAGTCCATTCTTCCCTAATACTCTAATTAAGTGCATTTATGCCTGCAAATTAAATGGTAATTTATGGAAGCTATAAAAATAAAGCAACTTAATTCATGAGGGCAGGAGACAAATCATACTGTTTACTTAGCATTGTTACAGTTCCTAGAGATAAGCAGGTGCTCAAGATTTTTTTTGAATAAATGAATGAATGCATTTAATTGAAGCTCAATGCTGTTTTTTAATAAACTAAGTTTCAGTTGATTCAGTTGGGGATGAGTGTGTGTCATGGTGATGGTATTATGCAGGATTTTCAACCAGTGCGCCACAAGAATGTTTAAAACATACAATACCTGATTATTTAGTCAGGGGCTCTGACCTCTTTTCCCTTAGATTGTCAAATAAAATATGACAACAACAGCCAACACAACAATAATTATATGGTGTGAATAAATCAAAATTATACCCGTTTTTTGTCAGATTGGCAAAAAGTATATATTTTTGGTATTCCACGGAGTTTTAGTAGTTAGTTTATGTGTGCCATGAGATGAAAAAAGTTGAAAATCACTGGTATTATAGGTAGATAAAGCAAGATGACAGTTATATTAATTTATTTATATATTTTCATTGGAATCATTTATAAATTGAGGAGTTGCCATTTGCCTTTGCACTATGACTATTTCAGATGAGCACTGTGACTAAAGAATGCTAATAAAAAGGAGATATCATTTCCAGACATAGTTCTAATACACAGATCTACATCATCGGTCATTCTCCTAATGTGCTATAGTAATTTAGTAAGTCATCTTTTAACTTGCGAACAGTTATTTTCTGTTGAAGAAGAGGACAACAGAAGTGTGGGAAAATGTGAGTCATTATATTTGAAATGCTGAATAACATTCTGTTTTGTTCACCATGATTTTGGCCAAGATCTAGAAATGTGTCGTCTTTGACTTTGGAAAGCAAGCGAAAGTCATGGGCCTCCTCTCCCTTCTCAGGTTAGCTTGGATTACTTAAAGAGACATTTACTCTTGTGTATAAATGACACTTTGGTATTGAAATGCCAACGAACTGCATGGATATTTAAGCAGTGAACTGCATGCTAAATTAAGCCATTCCATTATCTAGGACACACATTCCACTCTAACACTTCACAAGATACCAAAATCATATATTTGGAGTTAATCATTCTAATCATGTTTAAGCAATTTCTTTATTAACTATTGGTAATCCTGACCTTGTGAAAACATCCTGGGGAAAAGCTGCAGTGTTATTATTACATTCTAGGTGAAATATAGGAGCTACACTATTTATTTAAAATATTACATAAAAACAACTCTGTAAGCAGCATTAAATGGAATTTTAGCTCTCAGGCTTGCAGTCTTTCTAAATACCACTGAAGAAATCGACTCACTGTCAGCACATCGTGTGCACTGGGCTGCTTTTCCAATAGGGTATAGATTTATGCTTATTAGCTCCTCTTATCCAACCCAGCTAAGTTTCCTAGCAATGACTAGATACTTGGCAAGTTTACAGGTTCCTCATATAGCCAGGAAATACAGTGAGAACTATATGAATAGAATGTGTAACCTTGGCCTCAACATCACGGATTGTATCTAAATGCAAAATGTGAGCTTTTCCTTCCTTCTCATGAGATGTCCTACTAGGTTTTCTTAGTACATGAGTCTCTTGAGAAAGTCTAAATTAAGCTTATTTGGAAGCTTTGTTTACTTCTTGGAAGTCACCATAGGTAGATGGCAGTGCAGAGATATCATTTATTATGCTGATTCTTAAATAAAATACCTATGAATGTCATTGTAGTCTTTGATGGATACTCATGTTCATGGTTAGCATAAAAACTGTCTGCCCCCATATCTGCTCATATGCTTTATCCTCCACTTAAATAATATCTTCTCCTAGTTCTGTCACCTTAAAACATGAAAGCCCATCTTGTTTAGAATTATGCATTTAGCCACATATATTTTTGTAATTGAATTTATTGGAGTGACATTAGTTCACAAAGCCATGCAGGTTTCAGTTGTACAACTCGACAAAATATCTGCGTACTGCCTTCCAAGTCCATTGCCCAAAGCAGTCTCCTTCCATCTTCATTTATCCCCCCTTTACCTACATCCCCTACCCCCACACCCTTTTCTCTCTGGCTATCACAACAGAGAAACTAATCACAGAGGGATTAGTTTAATCCCTTTGTGTTCTTTCTTCCAGCCCCCCAACATACCTCTCCTCTGACAGCTGCCATGTGTATTCTGTTATGTGTATCCAGGCTTCTGTTTCCATTTTGTCAGTTTATTTTGCTCATTAGATTTCACATATAAATGAGATCATATAGTATTAGTCTTTCTCTGAATGACCTATTTCGCTTAGCATAATAATCTCCAGGTCTATCCGTGCTTTCTCAAAAGGTAAGGTTTCCTTCTTTTCTACAGCTAAGTATTATTTTATTGAGTAAATATACCACAGCTTTTTATGCAATCATCTACGTTGGGAACATGGGATATTTCTAAGATCTTGACTATTGTAAGTAATGTTGCAGCAAACACAGGGTATGTACAGTCTTTTGAATTAGTGTTTCAGATTTTTTTAGATGTATTCCCAGAAGTGGAATTACTGGGTCAAAAGGCAGTTCCAGCCTGCATTCTTACTGACACTGCACAAGGATTCCCTTTTCTCCACATCCTTGGCAGACTTGTTGTTTGTTGAATTATTGATGATAGCCATTCTGACAGGAGTGAGTTCATATCTTATTGTGGTTTTCATTTGCATCTCTCTGATGATTACTGACATTGAACATTTTTTCATTTGTCTCTTGTTCATCTGCATGTCCTTTTTGGAGAAATGTATATTCAAGTACTTTGCCAATTTCTTTTAATTTTATTGTTCTTCAAGTATAGTTGGCTCCATTTTCACTCCACCACAGCCTCCCACCCACCTATCCCTCTCCCACCCTCAAACCTATCCCCTTTGACTTTGCCATATGTTCTTTATGCATGTTCCTTGATGGACCTTCCCATTTCCCCCCATTATCCCTCTCTCCCCTCCCTTCTGGTTACTGTCAGTTTGTCCTTTATTTCAATGTCTTCAGTTATATTTTGCATTCTTATTTGTTTGGTTGATTAGGTTTCACTTGTAGGCGAAATAATATGGTATTTATCTTTCACTGCCTGGCTTATTTCACTTATCATATGCTCTCCAGTTTCATCCATGCTGTCACAAAAGGTAGGAGTTTCTTCTTTCTTTCTGATGCATAGTATTCCATTGTGTAAATGTAACAGTTTTGTTTTTTTTTTTTATCCACTCATTTACTAATGGGCATTTAGGTTGCTTCCAGAACTTGACTATTGTAAATTGTCCTGCTATGAACACTGGGGACATAAAGGATTCTTAGGAATAGTCTGTGAAGTATAGGGGTTAGCTCTTTCTTAAACTCTTTTTAGAATTCTCCTGTGAAACCATCCAGTCCAGGGCTTTTGTGTGTCAGGAGTGTTTTGATTACTGCTTTAATTTCATCTGCTGTTATTGGTTTCAGGCTTTCTTCTTCTTTGTTGAGTTTTGGAAGATTATTTTTACTAGAAATTTGTTCATTTCACTTAAGTTTTTTAATTTCTTAGCATACAGTGCTTCATAGTAATTTCTTATAGTCCTTTGTATTTCTGTGATATCAGTTGTAATCTCTCCTGTTTCATTTCTGAGTGTGTTTATTTGGGTCCTCTCTCTCTCTCTTTTTTTTGGTGATGAGCCTACTTAAAGGCATATAGATTTTGTTTATCTTTTCAAAAAAGGAGCTTCTGGATTTATTAATCTTTAGAATTGTGCTTTTAGTCTCTATGCTGTTTAATTCTGCTCTAGTCTTGGTTATTTCCTTTCTTCTACTTGCTTTAGGCTGTCTTTTTTGTTGTTCCTCAATTTCATGTAGGTGTAGGGTTGGGTTGTTTTTCAAAATGTTTCTATGTTTGTAGGTAGGCCTGTATCGCTATAATCTACCTTCTAAGGACTGCCTTCGCTGTGTCTCATAAGTTTTGGATTGTTGTGAGTTTATTTTCATTTGTTTCCAGAAACTTTTTGATTTCTTCTTTAATTTCATTCTTGACCCATTCATT